TCTATTAATTTTATATAATAAAATTATATAAAAAACTAAAGAAAAAGATTGTATTATATATATAATTTTTTATAATAACTGTATAAATTTAATTTATATAATTTTCTACAATTAAGATGTATCTTTTTAAGAAGTATGTAAATATATAATCTTATAAATAGAAAAAATATTTTATTATTCATTATTTCTTCTTATATATAAAAAGTATACTTATAAATTTTTTATAATTATATATTTTTAATCACATAAAGGAATATAAAAACAATATATTAAAGAAAAAATATAATTCGATTGTCCTTCACATTTATTCGTTTTTAAATTGATTTACACGGACATTTAGACATTCTGTATCATGCATGTATTACGCACATACTTGTTAGATGTATACATTCTTTGAAGTAGTATTATGTTTAAAAAAAAAGAGAATTTGTACATAAGAAAATCATTCAAAGTATTGGAATAGAGATTAGTATTTTATATATGACAAGAGATACGCGGTTCACCAGTCGGTACGAAAATGTCTTGCGTCTTGCATTTATCAACGGATAGCAAAATGGCTACAAAAAGGGCAATGATTATCTCTTTAAAAAGATACATGTTAATATATTAAAATGTTAAAAATCTCATTTAAGAAATAAATAAATATGCACACAGTTTTATTCACTCTACCTGTGTCAAAATGTTGAAATATCTAAGCGAAGAGGGAAAAAATTGTTTTTGCTCGGTCGATACGCGTTAATGTAATATTTCTCTCTATATTTCCTCAGTAAGCAAGTGACGCCACCTTAAACATCCCAAAGATATATCTTTATCTTCGTCAAAATAGGTTGCGTCAGTTGCATTCGTAAATAGACTGGTTTAAACATTACGAACAGAAATTCTTTTGATTGGTTAGTTGCTCTGAATGGATATTTAAGAAATTTTATTTAAATTTTAAGAATTTTAAAAATTTATAGTTTTTCTTTTAAGTTATATGTTTATTCCATAATACTTATTGAAAATTATTTTTTTAGAAAATTTTTTTCTAAAAAAATTATTATATAAAAAAATATTTTTTAAAAGAATTTATTTTTTCAAAAATATTTAAAATATTTTATATATATATATATCAAAAAAATATAGCAAAAAATAAAAAATTAAAAAAAATATATATAATTTTTGATATGAAAATTATTTAATATAATTATGATATTATAAATTATATTTGATATATAACTTAGAAAATACCTTTATGTTCTAAAATACGA